GCTCAGCAGGGAGTCTGCTTCTCCCTGTCCATCTGCCCCTCCCTCCTGCTTGTGCTGTCTCTCTCAAATAAATAAAATCTTTTTTAAAAACCTGCTTTGAAACTAACTCGTGAAATAATCATATTGCAATCACTAGAAATAAGGTGAATGAGTCTTCGGATGCAAGTGACGGTGCTCGGTGCATAAGCTGCCTCTTGGCGATAGATGGCAGTGTAGTTTTCCCTTTTCTGATTTCTGTCCCTGCCCACGCTTGGGTTCCGCCCCCGCGCCCCCCCACCCCCCGCCCTTGCAGGCAACCCCAAAGGCATCTGGCGATGGGCTCAGTAGCGCTGTTAGGGACCAAATGTGTGGCTGCCGTTTCCTCCACTTGCCTCATCTTCCCCAGGTTTGCCCTCGGAGACAACCCTGGGCAGAGCTCTGTCTAACTCAGGCAGGGCATACCTTTTGTATGCACTTCATTATTCCCCCACCATCACCCACTCTGCAAACCTTTAGCACTCATGCTGTTCCTCTCCCTAACACTCCAGGGCTACCCACTGATCAGGGCTAGCCGGTGAATTTGCTACTCCCAGTTTAACTCAAGAAACAAAGTGCCAGCAGTGGAATAGCAGACATGGTGGGGGAGGTTTTACCGCATGAGAAGGCTGCTCAGGACCACCCTGAGTAGGGGTCCGAGGGAGATGGATCCTCAGGCCCTCCACCAGAACCCTGAGAGGGGGTGGGACTTTTTCAAGGGGGCCCTGGCCCAGCGGCGTCCTGGGGAAGATAAAGTGGGGGAGAACCAGGGGTGGAGGTTACCAAGGGTCCCAGTGATGAACAGGAAGAATCTGCTGGAAAAGGAGGGTTGAGGGATGGAGTGGGTCAGGTGAGAAAATGGGTGGGTTTGGAGGAGACCCCGGCCGAGGACATTTCTTTGATCAACTTTGGTCCCTGAGTGGCTGCCGCACGTTGGGGACTCTGTGGGTCTTTGGTGGAGGAGTGGGAAGAGGAAGGAAGAAAGGGGCTGCTCTGAATTGGTCCCTTCCTCCTTTGGAGGATGGCTCCCATGGCAAGGAATCCTGGTAGATTGCTGGCTCCAGATGGGAGTGTCATCCTCGTGGCACCTCCTAGAGCCCCTCATTCTGGCCACAGCTCCAGAATTCAGGGCAGGGTTTCTTCCCGCACTTACTCTCCCATCTCCAACAGCAGCCGGCTTTGCTGATGCCTCTACGCCCCGTCTCCGGTCCAGAGGGCTGTGTGTGGTAACACCCACGTGGAAACAAGCCCCTGTTTTACAGGGAAGTTCAGGTTTGCATTTGGAGGGATAATAGAAAGTTACATAAAAAATGAAGTTCTAAAGACAGACCAGTAGAGGGTAACCCTGCCTGAGGAATAGCATAAGCAGAGGCATTCACTCATTCAGTAAATATTTATTGAGCACCTCTGTTGTAGGTGGTAGGGATTTGGTACCAAGAGTGTGTGTGTGTGTGTGTGTGTGTGTGTATAGTGGGGGGGGGGACAGTCAATAAATCAATGAACCCACACATGTATACCATGGCAGGTGGTAACATAAAGATGGGTAAGAGGACCAGGGAGTCCAGGGGATGGGGTAGGGGTGGGGGTTGGTTACTTCACAGAGGGTATTCATTAAGCGTCATTCAAGTACTGAGTTGAGTGAAGGAGGACATGAGCCATGTGACAATCTGTGGGAAGAGCTGTCCAGGCCCAGGAAACTTCCAGGGCTAAGGACCTGAGGTCAGAGTGTGCCCTGGGTATTTGAGGATTGTCCAGGGTGCTAACGGGGTTGGAATAAAGGAGCGGTCAGGGGCCCGAGGGGAGATGAGCTCAGAGAGGTAGTGTGGGCACCGATTATAGAGGACATTGTGGTCACTGCAAGGACTTTACCTTTTATTCTAGGGAATTTAGGAGCTATGAGAGGGGTTTGAGCAGAGATGCGATCTGACTTGTGTTTTAAAGATCCTTCTGGTTGTTATATTAAGAATAGACTCTAGGGGGCGATGTGGGAACAGGGAGAGCAGTTACACTACCGGCACTGGGCAGGGAAAAAATGTCTTTTTGTTCTTGTTTTTTTTTTTTTTTTTTTTAATTTTATTTATTTCTTTGACAGAGAGAGAGAGGCAGCGAGAGGGGGAACACAAGCAGGGGGAGGGGGAGAGGGAGAAGCAGGCCTCCCGCGGAGCAGGGAGCCCGATGCGGGACTCGATCCCAGGACCCTGGGATCATGACCCGAGCCGAAGGCAGACGCTTAACGACTGAGCCCCCCGGGCGCCCCTTTGTTCTTGCTTCTAGTGACATAAGCCCCTCCCCCCCCACCCCCACGCCAATCCTGAACTGATGCCCCAATGCTCCTGTGGCTGTTGCCTGCCCTTCTGCCCTGCCCATGGATGCATCTTCGGGAAACTAACTCGTGAAATAATCATATTGCAAACACAACAAATACTTCACCTCCTGCCCCTGTTGAAAATAAAGTGAGAGGGTGAGACAAGCTTAGGACTAGAGTGACGGCTGACCGAATGCTAACCTTCCACTCAGTGCTGCAGCCTGTTGGTGAGGATCTGGTTTGCTCAGCTGTGCAACGTACTTGGGGGGAGCTGCAGCGACCCCCTCAGCCACGAGCAGCATAACAGTTGTAGGTCCTGCTTGCAGAACCGAGAGGTCCTAGACTCAGAGGTCTCTGTGTGCTCCCCACCGCTGGGACATCAACCCCAGGACACAGTCAGACCAGACCTGTTGGGGTGAGCTCATTACACACAAAGATGGGACCCCCCCAGGGCTGCTCTGTCCCCAGAGCTTGTGCCCTTCACACTGTAAACGCCCCTCTGGAAATTTTTCATGGGATGAACAATCTGAAGCCTCTGGTTCCTTATGGGTTAGATAGGGTTAGTTTTAGGATTATGGGCCGGATCTTGGCAGTAGGGGTAGAGGTGATGGAAGGCAGCTGCAGTCAGTCTGAAAACAATAGCTCACAAATGGGAGGCTGGTGTTCCAGTCAGTAGGCAGGGCTCCCCCTGGCCTGGGTGCCCACAGGACCCATGTCAGCCAAACTCCAGGTAGCAATCTACATAGACTCATGGGTAGGTACCTGGGTTGGCTGAGTGATTTGGAGCACAGAAGCCTCTCCATTGGCTTATTCATGATCTCTGATGTAGAACTCAAAACTACTTTGAGGGGTGCCTGGGCAGCTCAGTGGGTTAAGCGTCTGCCTTCGGCTCAGGTCATGATCTCCGGGTCCTGGGATGGAGCCCTGCTTCGGGCTCCCTGCTCAGCAGGG